TTCTAAAATGAAATTTTAATTCCACCTTGGTGCCTTCTTTATTCACTCTCCTTTCTTCTTAAACAATTTGTTTTTCAAAGAGTTTTCTACATTGAATTTTTCTCTTAACTTTTATAAATCCACCATCTAACTCTAACTTTCTTGTTCTTGTTATACCAATTAAGCTGCATGTAATCATCAAATTTAGTAAACTCACTACACCATTTATATAAATACTCACTCAATAAAAAAACTGGAAATATTTTCCTCCAAAAAGTGCAGTTATCTTGAAATATCTTCTTTCACCAATCTCTTGAACATTATTGTTATATTATCTGTCATCTTTCACCTGAGCCCCTTGGCTCACTCTCATCTCCTATTCGTAACCAGGTTTTGAATATTCTTCTTCCTATGGTGGTTGTCTCTTCTCCATTGCTTCTATCTCAAGTTTAATTTTAAAATTTACCATTCTTGCTCTTTTCTGGACTCCCTGCCAGGATTTTCATCCTCCATGCTGCTGGTAGCTATATTGGCATTTCCAAAACACACGAATTTTTCCCCACCCACAGTTTAGTCCAATCTGTGGTATCCCAAATGTGCCCTGGACACTCTAAATATCAGGTACAGAACATTAGAAATTTTATATCTGTTCACTTATTTTCTACACTTCTAATTTTCATTGCTGTATATGTTTTATCAAGTATAACATATAATTTATAAAAAGAAAAAGCTATTTATTGTGGAGATTGTACTCCATAATGGGGTGAAAAAAGAAAAAAAAATCACTGGTTATAGAATAACTACAAACTTATTAAAAGCTTCCACAGTTCATGATGTTATGTATTAAGCACAATGCAAATGTTACACATATTATTTCTAATCCTCACTCAGTTACCTTTTATTGAATGCCATCATAATCTGAACACTATAATAGGCATTTTATACTTAAATCACTTTTTGCTTATATAAAATTTATTTGTTTGAATCAGTTTCCTTATTTTTTAAAGGAGGTGATTTAAGATGATTTGTATATTGGAATGGGAGAAATATTATCTATGCTTCTTTAACTATTGAATCTAAGTTGGGCTATTTCTGTTAGAGTAACCTAACTACTAAGCTACTGTAAAAGTGATACATCTCACATTATCTAAAATTCCTCAGTAGTTTTTCCTGTGAAATATTATCCTGGTAGCATTGCTGCCCAGTGATGTTAAGGTTGTTATTATGTACAATGGCTCCATCATAGTCCCTGGATTTCTAGGATTCTTGGCTCAAGAATTTATAAGATGGCAATATCACATGGGATGAAAATAATTCCTGAATTGAACTCTCATATACACTGTGAACATCTGTATGTGTCTAGAAGTGAGCAGAATGTCACTAGGCTTCTACTTTGGATGGGATTTGTAGAATGTCTTTATAAATGAAGAACAGAGTCACCCATCCTTATACCTAACTTTTTAATCCAAATCACAACTTCTTATTCAAATACATCCATATGTGATGTTCATATTAATTTTGATCCTAATAAAATCCAAAGCATTTTGTTCTCAGCATATAGATGCAAATTGACCTCATAGAGATTTTTTCTGTTTGTTTTGTTTTGTTTTTTTCTTGGCTTGCTGTTTTATTTATTTTTCTTGAAATGGAAATACAATATATCAAGTCACTTTCTCTTAGAAAATATAAATGCACAATAATTAGGGATGCAGAGAATTCTGAGAAGCACAGGATTAGCCACGCAGTAATGTGAGCTCACATCTGCAGCTAGTCTAAAAATATCACACAGATCTAATTCTGCTTCAATGCAAATGTAATTTGCTGGTGACTGTGTTTGTTTCAAACCATCGATTACTTAATATTTTATTGTATATTTTTAACTAGGCTACTGGGAAAATAATGCACCTGTGCAGGCTGATACTACTGTAAGAATGTGATTTACAGTCACAAAAATATTTCAATATTGCTTAGTGATTCTTCTATTTTTTCTTAATGAGCATTCACTCACATTTTCTTCCCTGTTTATTTCAAATCTAGTTCATTCCTCTCTTTCCTCCAAAAACACGATTTCCACCAATCATCTCTTATCTCACAGAGAAAATAGAAGATCCCACAAGGTAAATTCCCCAACTTCCTGCCACCAAAGTTACAAGCTGAATAATCTACAATAATCTTTCCTCTTTCCTCCTACCATCCACTGTGTTCATTGCCACTTGCCTTCTTTCGTTTGTTTTATTATTTCTTTAGGCATCCCTTCTTCACGATTTTAACAAGATCAAGACTTTCCAATCTTAAAATAACTTTCCAAAAATTTTACATACATACCGAAATACAAAAATATATGATAAGATTTAGAATCCTATTCCAGATTCTCTGCTGTGCTCATATCTGTATATACCATTGATATCTGGACAAGAAAGTCACTCAGGCACACTTCGAGTTCAGTATAGGCTTAAGTGATTCTGACATTCCTTCTCCCTTACCATCTTATTTTTGCACCTGTTATTCCTGGGTTTCCTTCTCTCTCCTTATGTCAACAGCCTTCAGGACCTTATAATTCTAGCATTTACATATTTTTGGAGTCCACCAGCATCATTATATTTCTATTGTCACTGTATTAATCATGCCATCCCTATTATTTCACTAGATTAGTGTTACTGACCCCTCCCAAAATTCTCAAGTCTCCCAGGTGTACCCACAGATACATTCCTCACACTCCTACTAAACTGACATCCTTAAAATAAAATTTACTATTGTTAATCTGCTACATAAAATCTACCAGAGACTCCCATTTTCCTTAGATAAAATGTGAGCTCCTTTACCAACAATGCTGGTCCCTTCTTGATATAATCTCTATCTAAATTCAGAGCTTATGTTTTATCATAAGTTCTCTTCCCTTTATACTTAAAAGCTCAACTTCTCTCACTTCTTGGAAGGTATTCAGTGTCACACCCATTTCAAAATCTTTAGACAGATATTTTCTCCGGGAATTCTCGTCCCTTGGCAACTTTCCTAGATGATTCCATTTCATTGTCCAAGTTTATCCTTCTTTCCTATTAAATGCCCCGGCTACATGTTTTTATAGTGCTCTAGACTATTCTTTTGATAATAACTTGATGATGTTGCTTGCCTAACCATCTATCTCCTTCATTAAGTTCTTAGTTCTTTACACTGATATCTAATTTCACTTGGTGATTGATGAATTCCTAGTACTTAGCATATTGTCTTGCACATTGACTGGGATCAAATATATTTGTTTAAAGTATTCTTTTAACCTTAGCAATATTATCAATTGAAATCCAAAAGTTATGGTTAACATATTTTAAATGAACATGACTATACATAACTTTTACTTGTAAGAAATTTATTATTTAACACTTTCCACATGCATATTAAGGTAGTGCTAGTATATTACTTATGTGAATTTGTATTTTATAGATTTATAATATCCACAACTGAATTTGCAAAGTGGTAATTTATAACTAAAATTTAATTTCTACATGATTTACAATAGTCATCAAGATATTAGAGTTACCATAAATATCTGATATAAACTAACAAATTAATAACATAATATAATGGCATAAAATCATTTATTTTAACAATTTTTAATTCATAGTCAAGGTATACTAGAGAATACTGGGATTTTGAAATTGACAAATGTTGATGTTGATTACTGAGTGAAATTGGACAATAATAAAAGCTACCATTTGATGAATGACTTACATAGGTTTACATAGTCTAATTCAATCTTTAATTCTACCTTGTTAATTCAATAATACTATATTAATTTCTTTAAATTAATATTTTTAATGTATTCTTACCTATATAACAGTGGAGGGAATGAAAACTCATTTGGCCTAAGAACATAGAAAAAATAAATAACATTGATCCAAAAATCCAAAGATTATGCTTTTACATTTATCTTTCTTTAGAGAATTTTAATTTTGTTGTGAGAATTACAGCTTATTTCTTAAGTAGTAAAGTGATTTGCCAGAGAAAACCCTCAATGAGTGTTAGTTACTATTTTTTTAATTGTTTTAATATATTAAATTTCAAAATCCCTGTTTGTTTTCTTGCCCTCTGGCAGTAATGGTACCTTCCAACAGAATTGACCCCTGACCCCTCCTTCCACATCAGTGTTGAGTGATGAAGGAGAACGTTACTGTCACATTATTTCTATTTATCATCCTTCCATTAAACCACTTTATGTTTCCTTTTCCATCTTTACCTACCACCCTCCCACCATTCCTGCAGAAGTTGGGTGAAGACTCTTTCTGAGTTTAGTCATTTGTATAACAGAATGTTCCATGAATATTTTACATATGTGGGAGCTCTCTCCTCTTGGATTACAAGAACATGTTTTGTCACCAACAGGCAACTTAAGCCTTATGTTTGTAAGAAAATATTGCACAAACATTATATTTGAACCATTTTTATTCTTAGTTGTTTTTAAGATTTTTTTTCTAAAACTAATCAGAGAGGGATACTTGTATCTGAAAAAAATTTAAACCATCCATAAAAAAGAGATCTTTACTATTGCTGTCTTTCAGTTATGTTGAAACTTGGTATAAAAAACTGTAGTAAGTTGCTGGTTTAATTATGTAATTATACCAGCACTTTTCAGAAGCAGGTGAGTATATATGGCAGGATGAGATACAAGGTAACTTGACCACACATTTTTCCTGGCCTTGTTTCACAAAGAAGGTGCCTAGCTGTTGGTGGCACAGTCCTTACAGAAAACAGGTAAGAATTTTCTATATCATTGTTAGGAAAAACTTCACTAACAATGTATTATTTTTCTGTTTTAAGGTATATTTTAAACAATTGAACTCTACTGTTTCTTGATCAAAATCCAGTCATCAAATCTACTTGCACTTTGGGAATAGAGAAAGAAAGACAGTCCCCAGGAGTCCCTGAACAAAATCTCTGCTTAGAATTTTCCAGCAATACTGAAATCCAATTTTGTAGCAATTCTTTATGACACTTTCATGATAGATTGTAAAACACAATTTCCCAAAATGACTGATAAATTAATTATGCTTGTGAACCTGGTGGTTCTTCACAGCATGTTTATAAATGGAAGAACAACATGTAAACGGCACTTAATGGAAGAATGGCGTACACAGCCCTCAACATATGTGGTGAATTGGACAGTGACAGAAAACATCTGCCTGGAGTTCTATGGGGATTGCTGTTTTGGAGATGTAAATACTAAAATGAATACTTCTGGCAATCAAGTTGTTCCCCAGATTTGCCCTTTGCAAATTCAATTAGGAGACATCCTTATAATTTCTTCCGAACCATCTCTTCAATATCCAGAAATAAATGTGATGAATGTTTCTGAAGCATCATTCATTGACTGTCTGCAAAATACCACAACTGAAGATCAGTTACTTTTTGGTTGCAATCTAAAAGGAATGCACACTGTTAATTCTCAGTGGCTGAGTGTTGGGACACATTATTTCATCACAGTAATGCCAAGTGGTCCATCCCTTTGTCAACTGGGACTTCGACTAAATGTGACAGTGAAAGAGCAGTTCTGCCAGGAATATCTGAGTTCGGAGCTTTGCTCTGGGCATGGTAAATGTCTTACTGAAATTTGGAGCAAGATATACAGCTGTCATTGCCAGCCTCCATTCTCTGGGAAATACTGCCAGGAGCTGGATTCATGTTCCTGTAAGCCATGTAAAAATAATGGCAGTAATACTAATAAAAGGGAAAAATGGAATAAGCAAGGATATGAATGTATCTGTCACCCACAAATTACAGGTAAGATTATTTTTTAAAGTAAGACAATTCTATTAAAATAGTAAAATAGACTGAATTCATAAATGGTTAGTTACCAAAAACTAGGCTATGTTTTTAAGAATTTGGTATATTTTTTAGAATGGGCTAAATTTGGATTCCGGGCATATAAAAATCCTATCAGGCATTCTTTTTTTTTTTTTTTTTTTCGGTATGCGGGCCTCTCACTGTTGTGGCCTCTCCCATTGCAGAGCACAGGCTCCGGATGCGCAGGCTCAGCGGCCATGGCTCACGGGCCTAGCCGCTCCGCAGCATGTGGGATCTTCCCGGACCCAGGCACAAACCCGTGTCCCCTGCATCGGCAGGCGGACTCTCAACCACTACGCCACCAGGGAAGCCCCAGGCATTCTTTGAAATTAAAAATTGTGCTTATTTAAAGAGGATATCTTAAAAACATATATGCTTTATCTTGAAATACCTATTTTTACATCTTTCCCCAAATCCACTCTTAATGTCTGGCATTCTTTGAAATTAAAAATTGTGCTTATTTAAAGAGGATATCTTAAAAACATATATGCTTTATCTTGAAATACCTATTTTTACATCTTTCCCCAAATCCACTCTTAATGTCTCATTAAAAAAAAAAAAAAAACGATTATCAGAATAATATGTTTTAGTCATTAAATGAAATTCCCAAGGTTATGGTATTTGGGGCAAGCAGTTATGGGTGATAATGTAGAAATGAAGTGTGGATCTAAGTCGAGGATGATAAGGACACACATTATTGGGACAAAGATTTGAATTTGCTTGGGAGAGTTGGAGAAGAAAGGATGATTGTGAACCCAAAGTAATGTTCTTAATGGTGTTGGTGTGGCACCTATAAAGTAGTTGATAAATCAGAAGAACAAGGTGGGAAAGAGAGTGATATAATTATCAACTGTTTTTTTTTTTAATTATTAACCGGTTTTTATAAGCTAAATGAGAGGCAATGATGAGAAACGTTTGCAAAGGAAGATATTTGGTGAGTGGATGAAGCAAAAAGAAGGGCAACCTAAAAGCAGTGTAAATAAACTAGGTTACCTGAGGCTGAAGTGAGGATTTAAGGGAAATAGACTATTCCTATTTGAAAGTTTACTAAGGAAGTTGAGTCAGCAGAGGAAAATGAAGAGAAACATTGAGAAATGTAGGGAATATTTGACAATTGGGAATGTGTGAAAGAATTTCTTTCAATTACAGTTTCAGAGACCTGGCATGGAGAGTTACAAAGGTAAAAGGAGGATGATCTAAAGGGAAATGTCTGGCATTGGCAATGACGGGATGAGAAAACACACAGCAATCTAACAGCACATTTTGGTCAGGAGAGGGGAAGGGGGGGTGAGAAGCAGATGTGACTGGAGTCAGCTGGGCTCAATGATATAACTGCAATTTTGTGGGGCAGGCTTTAGGAGGAATCAATAGGGTTGTTCTTCTGTGTGCCTGGGAAGACTCCCTTGAAGCTAGATTTGAGGAGACTGTGTCATAAAGTATAATGGAAAAACTCTATAAGCCATTTTAGGCTCCAAAATTCACCTAAGCCATTTAAAATGTAATTTTAAACTGTTTAAGGAAGAAGTACTGAGGCTATTTCAGAAGTTAATCCCAGCATTATCAACTGGACATCCTCTCTGTATAATTGGGATCAAATTCTCATTTGGCTGTACTGGCAGGGGTGATAAAAGATGTAAGTTAACCTGATTCATAATATATCAGGTAATTAAAATTAAGACAGGTCAGCAAAAAATAAATAAATAAATAAAAGCACTCAAATTTCTGATTTAGGGTGAATGGAGAAATAATTTAATCTAGAGCTTCTATAGTATACATTTTAACCTGTCCAAAGAATTTTAGAGAATATTTGACCAGAAAATTTCTACTACCTACATAATATTAACTGACATAGATGTAATCATAAATCATGGAATATTATTTCAATGAGTTATCATAATTGCATAGAATGGTTTTATCCCAATGTTTATTTCTTTGTTTATTAGAAACACAGCAGTAGATAATGTAAATAATCAAATTTTAAACTCTATAAAAGTATCTAATATTATTTATTTTTTAAGACATTGAGCACATACCATGACACCACTCTAATTATACACAATTACTTCAATTTTAAACCTTAAAAAATACAGAAATATGTAGGATTACCAAGAAACTGAGAATGTTCATTGTACTAGTTTGTTAGTGCTGCCATAACAAAGAACCACAGTGTGAGTGGCTTCAACATTAGAAGTTTATTTTCTCAAAGTTCTAGAGATTAAGTGGTCCCAATCAAGGTGTCAGGAGGATTGGTTTCTCTAAGGCCTCTCTCCTTGGTCCATGGTCAACCATTTCTCTCTGTGTTTTCACATCCCTTTTCTCTGTAGTGCCTGTAGTGCCTGTGCATCCTCTCCTTATAAGGACATAAGTCATTTTTGATTAGGACCCAAACTAGTGACCTCATTTAACATCTATTACCTCTTTAAAGACCCTGTCTCCAAGTAAGTCACACTATGAGGTCCTGGGTGTTAGGATTTCAACAGAAGAATTTATTTTTTTGGGGGTGGTCACAATTTATCTATTACATCCACTAAGACTGAAAGGGAACATGACCTATTGGACATACCACTGATACTTTAGCTTTTGTGTATGGAAATATTTTGGCACACAACTACTTATTGTAATTACTTATTACTTATATTTTCATTGTGTTGGGGATTGTTTGGAGGTAAGTGAGGAAAGAAGAGTTCTGCATTAGTGAGGTAGAGATGTCAGTGTATAAAGAATTTCAAAAGCATCAACTGGCCAAAACTGCTCACAAATTAAGAATTCAATTATAACGGGGGAAGTGGCAGGCTTATTGTCAAATCATGTGCAACTGTTTTGTAGTGACATTTTTCCATGTGTCATGCCCTGGAATTTTGTTGGGACATTCCTCTAAGAAGGATAATATGAGATGATCAACTACATAGAAATATATGCTATGCAAGGTTGTGTTTTTTTGTATAGTAGGACCATGATAGCTTGTACAAGTGGGATTTGGAAAACTTGATATAGTAACAAAGAAAGTGCAGAATTTAGAAGCTTGTGCATGGCTTCTGTGAATCCAAGCAGTCTTCCCTCTTTTCTTCCAAATAATTTTAGATTAGATTAGATTAGATTAGTTATGAATTAATTTGATTTGATTTTACTGTGACAGAATGATTAATATGAGGAATTAATATGAGGTTTACCCTCAAACAAAATTTTAAGTGTATAATATATTATTGTTGACAAAAGGTGCAATGTTGCACAGCAGGTCTGTAGATATTATTTTTCTTGCTTGACTGAAACTTTATGCCCTGGTTCCTCTTCAGATGGTATAATACTTTCACATTTTCCTTGTTTGAATCATTACCTTGGCTAGGTAGTAGGGCTAAGATACAATATATAATACATTTGAATGTGTCACTTTGTATATTGCCACAGCAATGCTCCAGCATATGTTGAAGAATTAATACTTACATATACTAATATTATCTACATGATTAACACATTCAAGTTATCATAAAAAATGACTAGAGCTCAAATATCACCAATCAGAAAAATATTTTAATATTATATTATTCAGTGAAAGGATGGAAAAACTGATGTCAAATTTATTAAAATTAAGTTTTGTTTCCATTTAAATCCATCATCATGAGGCACTATGTCTTAGTTAGAATTACACTATTCAAAAATTTTCTATTATTCATTATTAAAAATTTAGGAAAAATCTATGACCTTAATTAACTCTATAAATATAATGCACATATTTTAATATAGTTGAAACATTAATTTTCTTTTATTTTTATAGGCATAAATTGTTCAGAAATAATTGGGCAGTGTCAACCACATATCTGTTTCCATAGGAACTGCAGAAATATTATTGCAAATAGTTTCATTTGTGATTGTGAGGAACCATTTTCAGGTAAAAATACACATATATGTATGTATACATACATACACACAAATAATTTTAATTTTGTCACTTATTTCAAATTAGACTTGAAATGTTTCAGTTATTACTGAAAAATACAAGTTTAGTGGTTCTATACTCTGACTTTTATGAAGAATAAATTTAAGAGGTCAATTTCTTTAACAATTAAATGATTATTCTGCTAAATACTGATATTTCATAATATATGAAGAGTTTAGCCACCAATTGAACAGTTTTTTCTTTCTTTGTTTTTCTTTTTACTATGATAAAATATATTTTGTTCTTAGGTACCAAAATATGTTTACAAAGAGTGCATATTTTGCCCATAATTTTCAAAATTATATCTCTATTATTTCCTTATGTAACAGGTCAGTACAGACAACTCCCCTTTCATGAAGCATAAAAATGTTTTATTCCTTCTCAAATAAACTTAAAGATGTCAATAAAATCAACAGTTTCTTAACTTTTGATTAAATATTTAACAATGAAATTGTGTTTAAACCACTCTGATCTCATTTTTTTTTTTTTTTTTTTTTTTGGG